AGAGTCAAGGATGCAATTTCGTTGGGAGTTCGAGAGTTCGTCGGAAGTCCAAACGTTTGTCGGAAGTTCTGCAGGAATCAACCGAGAAGTCTAGGAGCTTGCCGGAAGAAGCTCGTCAGAATTCGCCAAGAAGATCATCGTGAAGTCGAGGAGCTTGCCGGAAGTCCGTTGGAATATTGCCGGGAGATCGCCGAAAGATCGCTGGAAGAAACCAAGACTTACGGATTTGTTTAGCTTAGGAAATATCTTAGAATTCGTAGTTAGCATATAATTGAGATTGGAATTGGGCCAACCCAATTATGGGCCAGTTGGACCCATGTAAGAATTGTGTTGGGCCCAATTAATAGGCCCAAACAATGCCCCAAGAGGTGACACCGTCGTGGCACAGTCTCCGAGACTATGTCAGGCGGTGGTACCGTCCAGCACAGGTGGTGGTACCGCCCGAACTCACGAAACCCGGGATGAGATATTTTTAGGCTCCAAGTTTGAATCAACTTGAGGCCTATAAATACCCATCTCATCCCTGGTTAAGATAGATAAGCACAGAGAGTTTAAAAGTGAAGAAACGCTGTTATAATCACTTAAGAAATCCCCTCCTCTAGTCTAAGTTTAAAATTCTATTTAGGAGGAGTGAGTACTTTTAAAGGTTGTCTCCTAAACCTGTGAAAAGGAAAAGAGGGGTATAAGAAGAAGGTTGATCTTCGCCTATTAAAGAAAGATCGATAGTGGATGCCAGTGGCCTCGACGGAAGAGGAATCAGTAAAGTAGATGTAGGTCACGACGACCGAACCACTCTAAAATCTGGTTTGCATTTCGTCTTGAGCAATTTACTTTACTACAAATAATTTTACTTGCTTACTGCCTTCAATACATTTATGAACACGAGATTTCAAGTTATCTTCTAAGTTTGGTTTTTATCATACGAAAGGATTTTCCGAAACCGATATTTTTACCGCTGTACTAATTCACCCCCCCTCTTAGTGCCGACTCTTTTCCTAACAGTTAGTATCATAGCCTCGTTTTCTCATTTGGTTTAACACCCAACGAGAAATGGCTCTTTTCGGCTTTCAAGAGGATCACTCTCTTATTCGTTCTCCCTTTTTTAATAGGACAAACTACACATATTGGAAAACTCGAATGAGAGTTTTCTTGCTTTCGTTGAATCTCGATTTATGGAATATTATCAAAAATAAATTTCAATGGTCTTCTCTTCTAATGAACCATTCGAATGACTTGAAGAAGAAGACTTTTTTTTTAAATGCAAAAACTATGAATGCTTTATTTTGTGCCTTAGACAAAAACGAATTCAATCGGGTTTCTTTGTGCGAAATGACTTTCGATATTGGGCACATTCTCGAAATCACACGACACGAATAGAGTTAAAGAGTCTAAAGTCAATCTTTTATTGTATGATTTTGAACTTTTTCGAATGAAGCATAGCGAAACCATTATTGACATGTATACCCGTTTTACGGATGTCATCAATGGTTTAAAAACTCTTGGCAAATGTTTTTCGAATTTTGAACTTATTAACAAAATTTTACGCTCACTTTCTAAAACTCGGGACTCTAAAGTAACGGCCATATAAGAGGCTAAGGATTTGAACTGTTTTCCACCCGAAGAACTAATAGGGTCTTTAAAGGCCTATGAAATGAGTTTTTTGACATATATTGAACATGAGGAACTTGATAACCACCTTCCAAAGGATAGGAAGGATTTGACACATCGAACAAAAGAAGACCACTCGAGCAAAATCTCAAGTGATGATGAACTTGAACTTCTCACAATAAAATTTAAAAAGTACTTAAAACAAGAATAAAAAAATAAAAAAAAATTGAAGAAGAAGAAAGCACTTTGGGATGAAACGAGCTTCTCCAAAGACGAGGAGAAAATCAA